CCTTAGGGGGGGGGGGGGGGGGAAGAGAAAGGGAAAAGAAAGAGAGAAAGAAAGAAGAAAAAAAAATCCACCGCTTTTCCAAGGTAGAAACCGGCTTCCTATTCCCTCCTGCACAGGAATCGCCTTGTGTGCAGAGGCGGAATTGCTGCCAATGTGAAAAGAGACTTTTCATTCAATCACCTCTGGCTGGAGCAGGCATGGGGAGGAGGAGGAGGAGGAGGAGGAGGAGGAGAAGCTGGCTGGGAAAGGGCCGGATCCATTCACAGGCGGCTTCTCACCCGGCCAAGCCTTCCTGCTGCTGCTGCTGCGCTTGGTGAAGGCAATCGAGGCTCCAAGCCAGCCCCCCGTTTGCCCCGGGACCGAGGAGGGCGCAGGCACCGCCTATCAAAGCCGGGGAAACCCTGCAGCAACCGGGCACTCCCCCTGGAAGGACAATGACAGTTCTTGAGCTGCTACCGTTTCCCTCTCTTCTCCCTCCCTCCCTCTCCCCCCCCCCCAATGCACAGACTGTACAGCTATTCCTGGAGTCTATAAAACCAGCTCTCCAAACACCCCCGGCGACAGAAATAGCTGCGCCAGGGCTGCTGTTCGAAGGGATGGCAGCTTTCCTCGCTTGGTCCAGGAACTTGGGAGGCACCGTGGTTAGCAGCCTCCTCTTCCTCTCTCTTTTTGCGAGGCTGGCAGAGCCCCCCCCCCCCGCTGCCCATCCTCATCCTACAACGTGCCACCGCTGGCCGGCTCCTCGTGGACAACTGGCACAACCACCTGAGTTCTCAGCATCTTTGTGCTACACGCAGAAGGCATTGGGGGGGGGTCCACTCAGCGCCAGCCATGGTGGCCTCTTGGCCACAAGGGAGACAGACCCCTTTTCTAGCAGCTCACTATTCCAACCCAGCCCGAGGTGGCTCAGGCGGCAGAGGGCTCTTTTGAATGCTTCCCCACCCAGACACCTGCTGGATGCTGGCACGCTCCATTCAGAGAATGCCCAGGGGTCATTTGGGGACGAAGGAACAAGCCCCAGAAAGACAAAGAGGCAGAAGAAAGCCGTGGAGCAGATGGTGCCGGCCTTGGGCCTTTCATTTCAGGGAATCTGGGGCTGCCGAGGCGGAGGAAGGAACAGCAGGAGGAAGGCCGGACAGGAGGAGAGAGGGGGCACATAGGCTGTGTCCCAAGGCAGGAACCCTGAGCCTGCCCACGGCTCCCCTCTTTTTTCAAAGACAAGGCACTGAAACCTCTTCCCACCACATCCTCTGACACTGGCCTCCAGGAATAGAGGGCAGCCTTTCTCCCTCCATGCCAGCCAGGTAGGACCACAGGCAAGCAGGAACAGCAGGCGGGCAAAGAAGCCGGGCACCTGACGGAGGAAGACAGACCTGGCACAGAAATGCAGCCTCTTTTCTTCTGCTGCAGAATCCATCAGGGCGCTCCGCTCCTCTTCTGCCAGGAAGAAGGGATGAATGGGGCCCTCCACAGGTTCTGGCTACAGCTGTCCTCAACCTTACCCAGCACTGCCAACACAGAGGGAGCAGACGTCCAAGGAACAGCTTGGAGACCTGGGCTGCCCGCCCTGTTCTGCTGCCAGTCTCCGTTAGGCAAACGTTTCTGTTTGTTTATTTGGGGGAGGACGGGATGCTAACCGTTGTGGACCTAACTGGAAGTCTTGCTGCCCACGTGCCTTTGGGTTGGCCTCCCCCTCTCCCAACACCTGCATTCCTAGCTAGAACTGAGGGGTCAGGATTCATTTCTTCCCCTTCTGCTGCTTCTCTTTGCTCCCTCCCATTTATTTTTGGCCTTCCTTTGTAAGCTCTTTGCAGGCAGAGACCCATCCCTTTCATCTAGGCACTCGTATAAGGTGTTGGGCAGGCAGAGGACACAGGGGTTGTGAGGGGTGCCTCCCTAAAGTAGTCAGAAACTTGCCAGGAACAGAAATGGGGAGCCTTTATTAGCAGCTGCTCCCAGGTTCTCCTTGCCACGGCAGCTGGGTGATCCTGGGGCTGGCAGTCCAGGAAGAAAGCCCCCTCCACTCCTGGGGCCACGCAGGCTCAGCTGATGGGGCCACGCTAGGCGATGGCTCCGGAGGCAATGCCAAGCAAAGATTCACTGCCTCTCAGCCCAAAGTTCTCGGCCGCCGTCAAGTCCCACCAGCTCTTGAGAACGGCCCACTACGAGCGGAGGCGAAGCTCTCTGCCCACTCAACCTCACAGCCCAGTGGGGTTTCAGCCCCCTCCCCAAACTGCGCAGACATACTTTGTGCACAAGACTGCTTTCTTTCCAGTCCAAACCCCATTTATTGCAAGGGCTGATCCCAGAAATGATTCTGAAACAGCCTCTACCCTCCCACGTGCATCCCCTGCCCTCTGAGCCGGGACAAAGGAGGAGGAGGAGTCCGGTTTTAGTAACACTTCCCCATCGCAGTAAAGTCACAGGAGGTCCCACATGGCTTGAAGAAGGTTGACCCGATCCTGGAACACAGCAGCCGGTGCGGGGGCCAGTCCATAGGGCAAGGAGAGCCCTACCACCCTGCCCACCCATCTCAGGCTTCCAGCCCTAATTAAGAAATTATTTTCTGCAGCATCCCCTGCCTGGGAGAAAGAAAGGAAGCAGAAATCAGAATCTGTTGCCACTGGTTTCACCTTCCATTAGCGGCCCAGCTCTATCTCTCCCAATGGGTACATGTGGCCACTGAAAACAGCGTTTCTGGGCTTAAGAACCTCAGCTACCCCACGACCCGCTTCCTGCTTCCCTGAGGGTCACTGGCACATTCCCGAGGCCACGGCGATGTAATACAGTGGGAGGCTTCTCTTCGGCCGGCCCTACGGAAGGACCTCGATCTTCTTCTCCAGACTTTGAGGCGGGAAGAGGAACTGCCTCATGATGCCGTCGAGCTCTGCCAAAGCCAGCTGGGCATGGAGCACAGTGACTTCGTCCTCTTCGCAGCGCACCACGGACTTCAGCAGGCGGTAGAGGTCCAGCAGCACATCCTGAAGAACCTGGGTGATGGGGTGGCCGCAAGGAAACACACAGAGAGAGGGAGAGAAAGAGAGAGGAATCGAATCACTGGAGAAATTCCACTAGTTAGACCTCAATAGCTACAAGATCACAAAGATTTACCGGTACCTTGAACTCTGGAAAAGTGTTAACAGAAAGGATCAAGAGAATCAAACTCCCCCCAGAAGGCATTCCCCAGTTGCAGAGGTTTTATAGGTGGGTCCGAGTCTGAGGCATCCAGGACAGGGCTTAAGACAGGAGGGTGGCCAGAGGCTGCTTGGCCAAAGGCAAGAGGACTTGCCCTCCTTCCCATCGGAGCTGTGCAGCAGCCCAAAGAAAAGGGCCCACGGCAGACGGAGGCTGCTCAGCCCCCGAGCTGGGAAGCCCTCAAAGCTCCAGGGTCACTTCGGAGAGGAGCGGCTGCCAGCCAGAGAGAGATCCGGGCACAGCCGGACGGTGGGTTGGCAGAGGTTCTGCTGCCTTTTCCTCGGAGAAGAGGGGGTTGGGGAGGGGCTTGCCTGTAAAGGCCCGCCTCCTCATTTCAGACAGCCTTCTGTCTGGCTGCACGTGGGAACAGGAGCAGGCTTGGCCAGGAAACGTCAGTGCCGTGCACGACTCTGCTAGCTGTGTCAACTCTGGCTGGCAGAGTCTCGGGCCATCTTTCCTTGGGCTAAACCTTCTGTGGTGGAAGCAGATACTATCTTCCTGAACTACAGCAGGGGCAAAGAGGAGGGTTTTTTTTTTTTTTAAACAGAATGACTTTTCAAAGTCCTGGGAAGGATTCTATTTGGTGTCCAGGCGCCCGTTGGGAGGATTCCTAAAAGGCTCTTTTGGGAGACGCCTCCATACTCTCGCATACCCTGCCAAAAGAGCTTCACCGGCTGGCTAGCTGCCCAGGGTGCCTGGCCTGTGCTGTGCCTGGCCAGCAGTGCCAAGGCAGCTCTACCTGTTGCTGCGTTTGGGAACTCAGGTGGGCAGCCTGCGGTCACCCCAGCAGTCTTGGCAAGACATGGAAACGGAAGGGCTTCCAGCTGCCGGCCACCTCATCTTATCTGTGGATCAGCCTCTGCAGAGATCGAGAAGGCCTGCAGCTGGGAACGGGGTGGGGGCTGAGCGGGAGAGGGAAGGAGGAGGAGCAGAAGCCTTCCAAGACAGAAGCAGCCATCGTATTCACTTGTGCTCTCCTCAGGAACACCAGAGGGTGGGGAAAGAGGCTCGTTCGAGGCCAAAATCTCAAGACCATTCTTGACCAACGAAAATCTCAGCGCAACCATTTCTTGGCTGCTACCCTGCAAAAAGGTGATTTCGATCTGCCCAGGTCTATTTTCTGAGCTCGAAAGAGATGAGAGGAAGGATGAATAACAAGGCTTCCTAAGCGCATCCCCGCCCACAGACTGCCGAGAGCTCCTCACACATTCCAGTGTCTGTCAGCAGGCTCTGTGTCTCCAGGGGTGTCTCGATCCAGGACGTTTCCATCCACGCCTTGCTCTCATCAAGGGAAAGAGGCAAGACCCCCAAGACCCTTTAGTGAAGAGCCCCTGGGGGTACTTCCACTGCCCTTTGCCCTACCTGGCAGCGCCCGCCCCACCCCGCCCCACCCCGCGAAGGGCAACAGGTGGGTGCTTGAGGGCCACACCTTGTGCCTTGCGTGGATTGCCTTTGGCGACAGCAAGGAAGGGGGGGGGGGGGGAGCGGATGCTGCACAGCTTTTTCGGTGAGACAACCGCAGTGGGGAAAAAGGGAGTCCCGGGTGGCTCAGAGAGAAAACATGGTGGCCGTTGGAAGTTTCCTTCAGGGACGCGACCCCTTGCTGGGCCAGGAAGAGGCAGGCTTCGCTCCGCGGCTACCAAGCCGCTGTTTTGTGATGGAGCGCCTGGCGTGTCCCAGCGATGCCTGTGGTTCACTTTGAGCACAAAGTGGGGGGGAAATCGTCAGTTCCTACGCTAGAAAGGCCCACATGGAGATCTGTTGGAAAACAGATGGATGAAACAGCTTTGGTGGATTTCACTTGATAAAACGCCTGCCTGAGGCTGGCCTCTCAGTCTCTCTTCTGCTTCTCTCTCTCTCCTTCTTCTTCCAAGCAAGGGCTGGCTCTACACACAGTTCTTGAAGTGCTACCCTCTCTACAGAGGAGAGAGGGGGGAAATGTTTTCTGTGTGGGCCGCAACTCCTCCTGTTTTAGGGAGCTGCAACCAGCCACATGGACCAGGGGAGCATCGAATTCCCAAAGAAGCCGATGCTTCCCAGCTGTGTTCAAAGGAGGCCCGGCTTCAGCCAAGAAATGAGGGGAGCTGGTGCTACAGGAGGGCTCTTCTCTGCTCCGGAGACTCCAGAAAGGAAAACTCACCTCCAGGGCCCTTTGGCTGAGCCCTCTCAGCAAAAGCACCACCACGTGGACAGCTGCTCTCCGCACCTCAGCCTCATGGTCAGTCTGCACCACGGCGGTCAAACAGGAAGCCACCTGCCAGGCAGAGAGAGAGAGAGAGAGAGAGAGAGAGAGAGAGATGTACAAGAAAGGAGTGTGGAGGAAAAGAGAAGAAAAAGGAAAAACAAAGGCTGATTAATACACTCAAGATGAAAGCTTGCATATAAAAAAAAGAGCTGAGCTGGGAGAACCAATTTTATATAACACTATGTTCTGTTTACACGTTTCTGGCTTCTGAATCATGATAACTGGCTAGTCAAGGCAGCGCGATAGTTAAAATGTTGAACTGGGACTCTGGAGAACTGGGTTGAACTTCCTACTGAGCCACAAAACTCACTGTTTGACCTTCAGTCGCTTGGCCAGCCTACCTCAAAAGATTGTTGTGAGGAGGAAGCGGAAAGGAGCAGAGCCGTTTTGAGGCCCCCAGAGGGAAGTGAAATATAAATGGAATGGAATGGAATGGATAAATGAATGAATGACATAAGGTGAAAGACTTGTAATACTCTGCTTGCCTCAAAGGCCAATGGCTCGATTGTTTCATTAAAAGAAACAAGAAAACACCTTTTGTTTTCTGGTAGAAAGTTGGGGTATACATTAAATAAGCAAACAGCAAATGAAACCAGAAGTTTAAACAAGACGGGAAACAGCTTTTCTGTGTTCTGAAGACAGTGCAGGTAAACCTGACAAGCTGCTGGTCCCGGGTGCCCACCCACCCACCCACCAGTATTCCCTGGAAGGCTTCCTCTTCCTAGCAGAACAATGGGGTTGTCCCCCCCCTGGGATCTTCACTCCCGTCCATGCTCTGGGAAGCTCCCACTTTTGAAGCCTTGAAAAAGTGAAGACAGCCAGGCTGGCACAAAAACAGCTCCAAAATCCATTCCAAGATGACAGCTTCACTACTGCTAATAATGATTTGGTGCCGTCAAGTCAATCATGGCTTATGATGATTCTTTCCAGGGTCTTGTAGGTAGCAAGCATTGAGAAGCGGTTTCAAAATTCCCTTCTTCTAGGGTGTGTGTGTGTGTGTGTGCCCTGGGATTATGCAGCTTGTCCAAGACTACCCAGGCTGGTTCTTTTCCAGAAAAAGGAATCAAACCAGCCTTTGGCTCCACAGCCAGGAACCTAAGGCACGGAGCTATCCAGCGAGTGATACCTTTATTAAGCCAACGGTGAAAAAAGAGAAAAGAGACCAGGAATAAAAAGTGTGTGCAAGCTTTCAAGACGACTATCCCTTCATTAGGACAAACATTACAAAAAGATGCCACGGGGGAGGGAAAGGAAAGGCTGGGTTTAAATCTCTATCCTCTGCTTATTGTCTCAGGATGTGTCGGAGGAGCGATGCTGCAGGCAAAGGAGGGGGCTCCTCAGGTGAAGCCACGGTGTCACCTGCGGGCAAGTGAGAAGCTTTCTGCTCCAAGGCCAGCACATCAGCTGCTGGGGCCCCTTTCTTTGTCCGGTGCACCCCCATCCCTTCCAGAACACCCCCGCAAGGACCACAGGCAGGGGAGGGGGACCCAAGACCCAGCTTCCTCTGCCCCAATCTCTTGCACGCTTTTCGGAACCTTTTCTAGCTTGCCGGGAAGGAGGTCCAAACTCCAGGTTTTCTGCCCCCTCCCCATGTGGGGGGGGATGCAGGCCTCGCAACGCTCTGAGAGGAGCCTCTTTTCTTGAGTTGAAGGGCAGCCCGGCTCCTCCACCACCTCCTCTGCAGCTGGGTTGCAGCAGCGCCTGCTGAGTCAGCTGGCACCTGGCCCGCTGCAGAGCTCCGAGCAGCTTTTCCACAATACAGCAAAGAGTGGCTTTCAAAAGCTGCCCCCGGGTTCCAGCAGAAGCCTAGCTTGCAACAGCCGTGGGGCTGTCTCTTGACGCTGGGATGGCCTTCATACGCCCTGTCGGGGACACAGTCTCAGTACCAGACAGGAGGAGAAAGAGGCAGGAAGGCAATTAATTCTCTGGGCGGCAATGCAGGAAGTCCCCGGTTTATTCCCTGGCATCCGTCCTGAAATATTTCTGCCCAGTTTCCACCCTAATCTAGAGGGGAATGGCACCCCGAGAGTTATTTCTCTCTCTCTCTGAAGAGGGAGCGTGTGTGTCTCTGCGTGTGGACAGGAGGCATACCTCATGGACCACGGAGCCCAGCTGGAACTGAAGGATCTGGCACAGTTCTCCCAGATTGGAGAGGCTGCTCGCTCGGAGGGAGCTGTCAGGGTCCCTCACCCCTCGCAGGAAAGCGTGGATCAGCCGGTCTCGATAGGAAAAGACTGTGTCTCCTGGATGGACAGCGGGAAAGAGAAGCACCAGGAATAAGTAAGAGCTGCTCACCGTCTGCAAAACGGAGCGAGGTGCTGCACAGAAGAAAAACCCGCAAGAGGATACAAAATGCACAAGAACACCGTCCCTTTGCCTAAACAAGCGTGTTATGTTCTGAGGTCAGGTTGACCAGAGGCTGTGTTGTCACCCTTGACCCGAGGGTGCTCCAGCCCATTGCTTCTCCACCCTCTTCTCCTCCCTTTATCAAAGAACGCGCACGTCTCATGATAGAAATAAAAAGCTCCTTTTGTTCCGAAAAACCTTGATCCCATGGGCAGGTTTTCTGCTATTTTATCACTTTGGTTGGTGGGCAGAAGGGGACACCGGATTAGAGGAAACACAGGATGCCTGGAAACGGTACTGGCATGTTTTGGGAGTAGGCTTGGCGCCGGGCGCTCCCTCTGAGCCCTCTTCTCCACTCCCAAGCGGGGAATAGGGCAGGTGGGGGGAAGGAAGATGGCAAGAGACGGGCACAAGGACAGGAGGAATGAAGGCCAATGAAATCTTAGCCCTCGCTTTGAGAACACGGGAGTCCCGTGTAGGCTGGCTTCTGTGGGTCACCAGTGGTAGGGGTCCCGCCCATTGAAAACCACTCCTTTGGAAAGCTCAGGTGCAGAAGTGTTCAGGCGAGCTCTCAGGCTGTGGGCACACACTGTCGCCCTCCCGTTGGCCACCCTATCAGCACAGACCTTGGGTCTCCCATCAGAGAGCACAGCTCCTGCCTCGGGAGGGCCGAGAAGCCAGCAATCCTATGTAGCACAAGCGACAGGAAGGGCCCGGTGATGTTCTAGCCATGAGAAAACCATCCCACGGCAACCCGCTGTGACTCTTAACACAGAGGTCCCCTTGGCTGGTGACGATCCACTATTGAGCCATCCAAATCACCCGCTTGAACAAGCCCGTACAGCTGACCTCCAGGACAACAGGGTTCTTAGACAACCACCAGCAAGTTGTCGCTGGCACAGGCCTGTGGCCACGGACCCCTCCTGGCCTCACAACGGACCCCTCTGCCCTTTTAAGGGGAAAAAACCCCCCTACTTCTGTAGATCAGTTAATTAGGCTGGTGGCTGTTGGGAGTTTGGGGGTTCTTAGGCAACCACCAGCAAGTTATCGCTGGCACGGGCCTGTGGCCACGGACGCCTCAGAGGACAGGCCCCTCTGCCCTTTTAAGGGGAGAAAAAACCCTACTTCTGTAGATCAATTAATTAGGCTGGTGGCTGTTGGGAGTTTGAGTTCCTCACTCCGCTTCCTGCAGGGAGAGCCAGCCAGGGTGGCCTTGGGACAGCTGCCCAGGAGTCCCAGGGTGCCCCCTGAGGACTCCCTACCTTGAAAAGGGTCACCGTACGTCAGAACTGAGGACGACACATGATCGTTATTATTATACTGGAGGTTTCAGGCTGAGGGGGTGGGTGTGTAACTTGGCTTGCCCTGAAGACGTGTGCGCCTGCACGGAGAGAAGGACCCTCCTCCCCCTCCCATCTCCTCTCCTGGGGAACAGACTTCTTTGGCCTTACTCCAAAGAGGAAGTGGGCAACCACGGCTCCCTGGATCTCCATCTGAGCCGGGCAGGAGGAGGATTTGAATCGCTGTCCCTTCCTCCATCCAGTCCTATAATAAATAAAAGCTTTCCTTGGAAATCTGGAGGTAGTTTCTTTCCCAGAGTGCCGTGGGCTCTCCTGACCGCTCCCGTGTCCAAGGGGGATGGCTCTCATTCAGCCCCAGTTCCTGCCATTCACGGAGGGAGCAGAGACGCCAGGAACCCCCAACCTGACATTATGGCTTAGCAGAAGAGTCCCAGAATAATAGATGGAGGGGTGCCCACCTCCTAGGCAGGGCAGGGGTCTTCTTGCTGCCCTCCTCCCCATCTCCCTGCTCCTTCCTGGCGTTCAACTTCCCCTTCTAGTTCTGCCAGGGAACTTTCAGCTATCCTGGGCTTCTTGCCACCAGCTGAACCCCACCTCTGTCCCATCCTTGCCCCTCTCGATTAAGCCCTGCCTTGCTTGCTTGAAATTAAATCCGTGCGCTCTCAGAGGCACCAGCAAGGTGGTGGCGGCGGCGGTGGGGTTTTTTTGGGGGGTTTGCATGCTGCTCCCTTCCACCACAAGGAGCTCTTCCTGCTCTCCTGCATGCCTCAACTAGCTCAGCGCTGGCTCCGAAGCAACTCCATAAAGAGAAGCAATAACTGGCGTCTTCCCAGCAAAGGGTGATGTTAAGGATTCTCTCTCTCCTCACCATGCAGGCAATGAGGAGAAGAGAAGAGCTTCTCCGATTTGTGTGTGTGTGGAGGGCTGGTCTTGCCTTCCTGGAGAGACGAGCCCCTCGCGGTTGACCTCAAGATGCGCCTCTGCTCCCCCAGATCCAGCAGGCAGCAGTTCTGGCAGAACAAACAAGCAATGGCTGGAAAAGACACCGGGGTTCCCTCCCAGGGAGCAATTCTGCTGTCAGAGCCAGAAGGATGATTGTATTGCTTGGGAATACAGGAAGGGGGTTTGGTTCCTCTAGGCTGGTGTTTCCAGCCCTGACTGGCAGCTCTCTGGGATCCCGGCTGAGGACTCTTTCCTAGCCCTTCCCAGAGAGGCAATGGTGTTTCCCCCCTTCTAAGTACTGGGGAGTGTCCGACCCTGCTCAGCTTCCCAAATGAGAGGTGAATGGCTGGCGGCGGATTCAGCAGCGCCTCGCCCTCGCTTTTCTACCTGTGGAAAGGATGCCAAGAAACTTTCGAGACCACCAGGACTCTACGGGGACGGATCCTCCAGTTTCATCTTCCTGAACTCTGTAGCTTGTGTCCACAAACCTTGAGGCACGAATGACCCCCATGGTCTCCACGGGTCGACCTCACAAGTAAACCAGATGCTTAAGATGCTGCTGTGAGGGGCGGGAGGTGGGGAAGGCCAGGGCCACGTTCTTGTGTTTCAGAATGGCCCAGCTGCCACAGATGCTTACAGCCCCAAAGGACAAACAAGGGCAATGCCAGACCGGAAAGAATTTTCCTTTTTTAAAAAAATTCAGCAGTAAAACATTCCCTGCCCCCACCCCCCAATGCTACAAGGTCTGCAAACTTTCCAGTTCAAATCAAGCCGGAATTCTTTCTAGAAGCAAACATGATGAACCATGATGCGCTTTGGGAAAAGCAGGTGGGACAGTGAATAAAGCTGGGGGAAACTGAAGACAGCAGGAGAAGAGGAAGACCTGGTAGGAGATGGATTGACTCCCTAAAAGAATCCACAGGGTTGGGTCTACAACAGCTGAGCCGGGCTGTTGAGGAAGAGGGCATTTTGGAAAGCGCTTGTTCATAGGGGCACCCTGAGTCAAACATGATTTGATGGCACATAACAGCAACAACAACATATGCCCTGGAAATGAGCAAAGACTACGTAAGAAACATGAAATGCAGAAAGCTTGCATACATTCGGTCACATTGTGTGTGTGTGTGTGTGTGTGGGGAGAAGCAAACATTGTTCCAGCAGGTCACGCAAGGTGAAAATCCAAAAGGGGAAGCAGCGCAGGAAGGAGCCCGTCTGGGGCGAAGACTCTGGGAGATGGGTCGGGTCGGGATGCAATTGAACCTTCCTCACCTCCTGTGGCTGCACCCAACGTCAGCTGATGATGCCCAACTTCTCACCTCCAGCAGGAGAGGAAGAAAGGGGAAGAGGGCGTGAATGTGCTGCTCAGGAGTGTTGTGTGTGTGTGTGTGTGTGCAGGTGAGGAGGAAGTAGAGGAATCACAAAGCGCTCTTTCAATCACCCACACCACAAAAAGTGAGATGAAAAGGCAC